CGATCTTGTGGTGGCTACTATGACACTGGAGACAACGTAAAGTTTGGATTTCCAATGGCATTCACAGTCACAATGCTATCATGGAGCACAATCGAATTTAAAGCCAAACTTGCAGCAAAGACGAGTTTCGAAACGCCTTGAGTGCCATCAAATGGGGACCAACCTATTCTTAAAGCACATCCAGACCAGACGTGCTTTACGGTAGGGGTGAACGGTTCCGGGTACCCTGCATTTTCTGGGGGAACCGGAACGGAACCGCAAAATGCAGGTTCCCAAAAAAGGAACCGGAATCGGAACCGCAACATACAGTTCTTCAATTCAAGGAACCGGAACTAAAAGCAGGTTCCGGTTCCTTTCCAGGGTATCCGTTAAAAAATCAATACCCCCCTATTAGTTTAAAAATAACAAAAACACTTTATAAGTTTACAAATACAACCTAACAAATTTTCATTTTCATTCATTTTTGTCAATGAACTCATAACCTGTAATCTCTAAGCAACACTTGAATTCAACAATTCATCACAATTCACATAAAATTCGTCAATCAAAACCAAAACACAAACAATTATTCATCACAATTCACATAAATAAATTATAATATTTATTAATTATTAATTTAATGTTATAATGGTCAATTGGGTATTTATAAGATACCAAATATAATTTAGTAAATTAATAATAGAAACTATTAATGTTATAATTAAATAAGTGATCATACTACATGTAAATGTAATGTATAATTAATTAAGTGATCATACTACAATGTAAATTGTAATGTTATAATTAATTAAGTAATATACTATTTAATTATAATGTATATTATAATTATTAATTGTTGATCATTTAATTAAGTATTGTAATATTGTTTATAATATAATGTTATAATTAATTAAATAATCATACCATAAATTTATAATATAATGTTATAATTAATAAAATTATAATAATTTGATTAGTATTGTGTAAATTAGTAAATTACTAATGTTATAATATAATGTATAACAATTAAGTAATCATTTATTATGTATGTTATATTAATTATATGTTATAATATAATAGTATAATGTAATGTTATAATGAATTAAATAATCATACTATAAATCTATAATTTAATATTATAATTAATTAAATTTCAAATCATTTAATTAATATACTAATGTTTTAATGGAATGTTATAATTGATTAAAAATCATATTATAAATAATAAGTAATGTATAATAATTAAATTTTAATCGTTTAATTAAGTAATGTAATAGTATAGTAAATTACTAATGTTTATAATGTAATGTTAAAATTATAACTAATTAAGTAATTATGTGATCATTTAACTATATAATGCTATAATTATAAGTGATCATAATATAATGTAATAGATATATTATAATTTAATTGAGTAATTATTTAACATTAATAATGTTATAATGAATGTTATAATAATTAAATTATCATTAAATTAAGTATGTTCTATAAGTTTATGTAGTAAATTAGTAATTCTAATGTTTAAAAACTAATATCATAACTCATAATCAATTAAATAATCATTTAATTATGTAATGTTATATTAATATATGATCATAACTATATAGTATATGTAATTTATAATGAATTAAGTAATCATAATATAAATCTATAATTTAATATTATAATTAATTAAATTTCAAATCATTTGATTAATATACTAATGTTTATAATGAAATGTTAAATTGATTAAGTAATCATATATAAAATATAGAGGTAATGTTATAATTAATTAAATTTTTAATCGTTTAATTAAGTAATGTAATAATATAGTAAATTAGTAAATTACTAAGTTTATAATGTAATGTTATAAATTTATAACTAATATGTAATATGTAATTATTTAATTATGTAATGCTATAATTAAGTAAGTGATCATAATTTAATGTAATATAATAAATTATAATTATTTGAGTAATTATTTAACTATAATGAATGCTAATTAATGTTTATAATGAAATGTTTATAAGGTAATGATAATTAATAAATTCTTATCATTTAATAACTATGTGCTAATGTTATGAGTAAATTAGCAATTACTAATGTTTAAAATATAATATCATAACTCATAATCAATTAAGTAATCATTTAATTATGTATGTTATATAATTATATGATCATACTATAATAATATAATGTAATGTTATAAGAATTAAGTAATCATACTATAAATCTATAATTTAATATTATAATTAATTAAATTTCAAATCATTTGATTAATATACTAAGTTTATAATGGAATGTTATAATTGATAAGTAATTATATTATAAATATATAAGGTAATGTTTAATTAAAATTTTAATCGTTAATTAAGTAATGTAATAATATAGTAAATTATTAATGTTTATAATGTAATGTTTTAAATCATAACTAATTAAGTAATTATGTAATCATTTAACTATGTAATGCTATAATTAAGTAAGTGATCATAATATATAATGTAATATAATAATTATATAATTTAATGAGTAATTATTTACTATAATGAATGTTATAATGAAATGTTATAAGGTAATGTTATAAATTAAATTTTACATTTAATTAAGTATGTGCTAATGTTTATGTAGTAAATTAGTAATTACTAATGTTTAAAACTAATATCATAAATCATAATAATAAGTAATCATTAATAGTAATGTATATAATTATATGATCATACTATAATAGTATAATGTAATGTATAATGAATTAAGTAATCATACTATAATCTATATTTATATTATAATTAATAAATTTCAAATCATTTGATTAATATACTAATGTTTATAATGGAATGTTATAATTGATTAAGTAATCTATTATAAATATAAGGTAATGTTATAATTAATTATATTTTAATCGTTTATAAGTAATGTAATAATATAGTAAATTAGTAAATTACTAATGTTTATAATGTAATGTTATAAATTCATAACTAATTATGTAATTATGTAATCATTTAACTATGTAATGCTATAATTAAGTAAGTTATCATGATATATAATGTAATAATAATTATATTTAATTGAGTAATTATTTAACTATAATGTAATGCTTAATTAATGTTTATAAGGTAATGTTATAATAATTAAATTTCTTATAATTTAATTAAGTATTATGCTAATGTTTATGTAGTAAATTAATAATTACTAAATTTATAATATAATGACATAATCAATTAAAATATTAATATGTAATGTTAAAATTAATATATAATCATACTATAATGTAATGTTAGTGAATTAGCTATTAAGTAATCATACTATAAATTTTTAATGTAATATTATAATTAATTAATTTTTAATCATTAATAAAGTTTGTACTAATGTTATAATAAAATGTTATAATGATTAAGTAATTATACTATAAATCTAAACGTAATGCTATAATTAATTAAATTCTAATTATAAGTCAATTAATTAACTATTTAATTATGTTATAACTTAAAGTCAATTAATTAAGTAGTAATCAATTAATGTAAGCTATAATTATTATACTATAAATCAATTAAGTAATGTTATAAAATTATAATTAATTAAGTAATCATTTAACTATAATGTAATGTTATAATTGATTAAGTATGATATTTAACTAGTAATTAAATTTATAATGTTTATCAATTTATCATATTAATTAATTAATTACTAATTTATTATAGATATACTTAGAACTTGATAATGAAGTAAATAACTAAATATATTATTACTCAATCAAATATACATTTATTCAAAAATAATCTTTTAATAACATTAAAAATGTAAAACACTTTAATTGGATTCATAATTCCAATTATTCACTTAATTGATCAAAACTTTAATATTAATGTATTATAATATATTAAAGCTTTTAATATGGTGTAATTTATATGTAATAAGTATAATTGTATTCGTATATTTATTTAATTAGGTTATTCTAAAAATTTAACTTTTTCTATTTTAAATTTTTTTATATGTAAAATAATAGAAACTCCCCCATTATTTACATTTCACAAATATTTCATTATAGTCCAGGTTCCAAAATAGGTTCTAAACAGGTTCCAAAAACAGGTTCCAAAATAGGTTCCAAAAACAGGTTCCAAAACAGGTTCCAAACAGGTTCCAAATAGGTTCCAAAATAGGTTCCAAACAGGTTCTAAAGCAGGTTCCAAATAGGTTCCAAAACAGGTTCTAAAACAGGTTCCAAACAGGTTCCAAAACAGGTTCCAAAACAAGTTCCAAACAGGGTACCCTTTTTACAGGTTCCGGTTCCTCCACATGCAAGAACCGGAACTGGAACTGCACAGTAGCGGTTCCAAAAAATTGGAACCGGAACCTACCCGCACAGTGCAGGTTTTGGGTAGGTTCCGGTTCCGGTTCAGGTTCTTACCCCCGGTTCCGATTCTACCCGCTACCCGTGCTCACCCCTATTTACGATCAAGTTGGTGATGGTGATTCTGATCATGCATGTTGGCAAAGACCAAAAGACATGACCACGCTTAGAACTTGTTGATGCAGTGATGCTTTGCTGGAAATGCATCAAATGCTCAAGTCTGCAGGATTATGTTTTTGGAAAATGCAGAATGTTTCATGCAGCAATGGCTTATCGTGCATGGGAAAGTTTTTGTGTAATTGGTTATCTTGTTGTTTAAAGGGTATTTAAGTAAGTTCATTAGAAGTAAGTTTACTGTACTGTTGTGTTGAAATTTGAATTTGAAAGCTGTAACTTCTGCTGTAGTTGGTGTAATTAGCAGAGAGTGGATATGAGTTATATATGGTCTTTTTTAATAAAAAGTTCATAACTTTTTTGCAAACATTTGGGGTGCTCTGTTTTTTCTTTCTCTCTCTCTCTCTCTCTCTCTTAATGTTCTCTAACTGAAACCAACAAATGGTATCAGAGCTGCCACAAAAACTAGAAACTTAGCATTGTAAACCTTCGATCACACCTCCAAAACACTCTTCATCTCAAAACGATAGACCTGCAGTTGTTCTTCTTTCTTCTTGCGATAGACATAAAAAACAGGGGCATGGCAACGCAATCTGCATTGATGGCTCCACTAGTATTCAATGGAGAACATTACCACATCTGGGTAGTAAAGATGATAGCCTTTCTTCATGGACAGGGATTGTGGCAGTATGTGGAAGAAAGCCGGCAGCCACCTCCTCTTAGACAGAATCCCATGTTGAACCAAATGAGGCTACATGAGGAAGAAACAACCAAAGCTCCGAGAGCTCTTTCTCACATACATGCTGCTGTGACTGATCTTGTTTTTACAAGAATCATGGCATACGAAAACCCTAAAGAAGCATGGGATAAATTGAGAGAAGAGTACATGGGGAGCACTACAACGAGGAATATGCAGGTTCTTAATCTAAGGAGGGAATTTGAGATGCAAAGAATGCAGGAAACTGAAAAAGTAAAGGATTGTGTTGATAGACTAATGGATGTTGTCAACAAAATCAGGCTTATAGGAGTGGAGTTGACAAATCATAGGGTTGTGGAAAAGGTTTTGGTGAGTCTTCTAGAGAGATTTGAGTCCGAAATCTCTTCTTTAGAGGACTCTAAAGACATGACTCAGATCACATTGACTGAGCTTGTCCATGCTCTCCAAGCTCAAGAGCAAAGAAGGCTCTTAAGGCAAAAAAATACTAGTGAGGGTGCATTGGTTACAAGCTTCAAAGGCAAACCTGCATAGACACAAACAAGAAAGTATACTGGAGATAGAAAAGGGAAAGAGAGGAGTAATAACCAGTGGGAGAGACCTAGTGGAGCGAAAGAATTTCCAGCCTACACCCACTGTAAAAAGAAGGGGCATCCTGAGAGAAGATGCTGGTTCAGGCCTGGTATACAGTGAAGGAGTTGTAAGCAATTCGGGCATATTGAAAGGGTGTGTAAGAGCAAAGTATATCAGCCAATACAACAAGCAAAAGTTGGGGAGGATCAACAATAATGTCAAGAGGCAGAACGGCTCTTTGTGGCCACCTGTTATACTGCACAAACAAGCAATGATGCTTGGTTAGTTGATAGTGGCTACACCAATCACATGAGTGCATACCTGCAAATTTTTTTTAGCTTGGATAGATCATATAGCTCCAGAGTCAAGATTGGGAATGGTGAATTCATGGAGGTCAAAGGCATAGGGGAAGTTGCTGTCCAAACTTGGTCAGGTACAAAAATAATCTCTCATGTGTTGTATGTTCCTAGAATTAGCCAAAATCTATTGAGTGTGGGGCAAATGTTAGAGAGAGGTTATTCCTTACACTTTGAGAACCAAGCATGTACCATACTAGATCCTAAATGAGTCGAATTGATGAGGGTAAAGATGCTAGGGAAAAGCTTCCCGGTTGAGTGGAAAACCACCAATGATTTGCCCTGTTAACTAGACTGGAGGAGTCAGAAACTTGGCACAAACGGCTTGGACATTACCACTACAATGGCCTCAAGAAGTTGAAGAGTGCAAACATGGTGAGTGACCTGCCAGAAATTGAGGAGAAAAACACATTGTGCAGTGCATGCCAAATTAGAAAATTGAGCAGACCTGCGTTTCCTACGGATCAGACTTGGAGAGCAACAATGAAGCTTCAACTGATTCATTCAGATGTTTGTTTGTGGTCCCATGCAAACAGAATCCTTAAGTGGAAGCAGGTATTTCATACTATTTATAGATGATTACACACGGATGACATGGGTGTATTTCCTACAGCAGAAAAGTGAGGTTCCTGCAGTGTTTAGAAAATTCAGACTGTTAGTAGAAAATGAAGCTGGAACAAAGATCAAATCATTTAGAAGTGACAACAGAACAGAGTACAGTTCAAGGGAATTCAATTCTCTTTGTTCAGAAGCTGGTATTAGGCATCAATTCACTACTTCATACACTCCACAGCAAAATGGAGTAAGTGAAAGAAGAAATAGGACCATCATGGAGATGGCTAGATGCATGTTGGCAGAAAAACAACTCCCTAAAAATTTTTGGGCTGAAGTAGTAAATACGGGAGTTTATCTCCTGAATAGGCTGCCAACCAAAGCAGTCAAGGGACAAACACCAGTTGAGGCATGGACAAGAACTAAACCTATAATTGGCTATTTAAGAGTGTTTGGAAATGTGTACTATGTGATGGTTCCAACAGTGAAGAGGACCAAGCTGGATAACAAAGCTGAAGTTGGTATTTTCATTGGTTATAGCAACCAACCAAAAGGATTCAGAGTGTACATTCTGGAGACAAAAAGAGTTGTGATAACTAGGGATGTGAGAGTGGATGAGAATGTGGTTTGGTGTTGGGAGAGTAAGAAGATTGTTGCTGACTGTAACACACAACAACCAACCGGAGCTGCTCTAGATGAACTTGAAACTGAAGAAGATGAAGTACTAGCAGATGAAGAACCTGCAATTCGTGGAACTAGGACCTTGGCTGATGTTTATGCAAGGTGCAATGTGGCTATGTTAGAACCTAAAACGTATGCTGAAGCTGTTGGATCAGATGCTTGGAAGAATGCTATGCAGGAGGAGATTTCCATGATTGAGAAGAACAACACATGAAGGTTAGTTGAAAGACCTGAAAACAGAAGAATTATTCAGGTAAAATGGATTTATAAATTAAAGCTCAATTCGGATGGTACAATCCATAAACACAAGGCTAGGCTCGTGGCAAAAGGATTTGCACAGCAGCAAGGGGTGGATTACACTAATACATTTGCTCCGGTAGCAAGACATGACACTATAAGAATGATCATAGCCATGGCAGCCCAATTTAGTTGGAAAATTTTCCAACTTTATGTCAAATCTGCATTCCTAAATGGCTGCTTGGAAGAGGAGATTTTTGTGGATCAACCCGAAGGCTACCAAGTGAAAGGTGAAGAAAGCAAGGTGGACATGCTGGAGAAGGCATTGTATGGTCTAAAACAGGCACCTAGGGCCTGGTGCAGCCGCATAAACGATTACCTTAACAGCCTAGGCTATGTAAGAAGTCCAAATGAACATACCCTTTATGTTAAAGAAGCTGAAGGTGATTTAATTGTTGTGTCATTGTATGTGGATGACCTGCTGATGACAGGGAGCAATCCGAACCAGTTGAAGATATTCAAGCAATCCATGCAATCTGAATTTGAGATGACAGATTTGGGGGAGATGTCATATTTTCTTGGTATGCAGATTTTTCAGTCCAAAAGTGGAATATTTTTGCATCAGGAAAAGTATGCAAATGAAATCCTCATAAAGTTTAGCATGGAGAATTGTAAACCTGCAGATACACCCTTAGTCTCTAACCTGAAGCTGAGCAAAAATGATAGTGAAAAAGGAGTGGATGAGAGTATGTTTAGAGGTCTGGGAGGATGCTTGCTATACTTGACAGCCACACGTCCAGACCTGATGTTTGCAGCAAGTTACCTCTCCAGATTTATGAGTTGTCCAAGTGAATCTCACTATAGGGCAGCAAAGAAGGTGTTAAGGTATGTGAAAGGAACTTCAAACCTGGGCATTTGGTTTAAGAGAGCAGAAAAATTGGTTCTGCAGGGATACACAGACAGTGACTGGGGAGGTTCCTTAGATGACATGAAAAGTACCTCTGGGTATGTATTTTACATCAATGAAGGTGCCATTGGTTGGTTGTCGAAGAAGCAAGACTCGGTGGCTCAGTCCACTGCAGAGGCAGAGTGCATTTCTACCGTAGCAGCAATGAACCAATCTGCTTGGTTCAAAAAAATCCTGTCTGATTTGAAGCAGGAACAAGTTAGGCCAACACCAATATTGTGTGATAATCAATCAGCAGTGGCAATGGCAAAGAATCCAGTTCTCCACGGTAGGACCAAACATATTAAGATTAAATTTCATGCAGTTAGGGAGGCTGAAAATGATGGGGAAGTGACTTTGATGCATTGCCGGGGTGTGGATCAGATTGCAGATATCATGACTAAGAGTTTGCCTAAAGCCAAGTTTGAGGAACTTAGACTCAAACTTGGTGTTTCCAGCAAATGCATCAAGGGCGAGTGTTGATGTAGTGATGCTTTGCTGGAAATGCATCAAATGCTCAAGTCTACAGGATTATGTTTTTGGAAAATGCAGAATGTTTCATGCAACAATGGCTTATCGTGCATGGGAGAGTTTTTGTGTAATTGGTTATCTTGTTGTTTAAAGGGTATTTAAGTAAGTTCATTAGAAGCAAGTTTACTGTAATGTTGTGTTGAAATTTGAATTTGAAAGCTGTAACTTCTGCTGTAGTTGGTGTAATTAACAGAGAGTGGATATGAGTTATGTATGGTCTTTTTTAATAAAAAAGTTCATAACCTTTTTGCAAACATTTGGGGTGCTCTGTTCTCTCTCTCTCTCTCTTAATGTTCTCCAGCTGAAACCAACAGAACTGCATTTAAGATTGATGCTAGCATCCAGGAGCTGATCTTGTTACTGAAATTGCTGCTGCTTTGGCTTCTGCTTCCATTGCTTTCAAGAATTTTGATCATAGATATTCTGAGACACTTGTAACCCATGCAAAAGAGCTCTTTGAATTGGCTCGAAATAATCTAGCTTTGTACCAAAATAGCATACCCGGGGCTGGAAACTTTTACTCTAGCAGTGGATCTGAGGTAAGAATTCTAATTAGATGTGTAATACATTATTTAGATTAAAGGGCTATTATCATCGATCTCGTCGGAGGTTTCAGGTCTTTTGTAGTGGGATGTCAGTGTATTAGAATATATAAATGAGATCTCACCCCACGTTTCATGAATTTATCATTGACGAACTGAGACGAGTGACTAAAGATGAAATCCAATGGGAGGTCATTAAGGATTTTCGATACACATGGGTTGTCACTAACAAAACCTAAAACCTCTAGGGAGGTCATTAACAATACCCCTAAATCAAACTATAACAACTAACGCCATGCAATTTCTCAACTCTTGTAGGATGAATTGTTATGGGCTGCTACATGGCTTCAACGGGCTACAAAGGACAAAAATTACCTAAATTTCATAGGAAATTTTACTAACACTGGTAGAAAAAGAACCTCGTTCTCATGGGATGACAAGTTTCTTGGTGCACAAGTCCTAGCTTCCAAGCTTGTTTTAAAGGGCAAAGCTTCGAATTCAGGGAGATGGGCTGAGCACAAGAGCCAAGCTGAGCAATTCATATGTTCATGTGTTCAAAACGACGTTATAAAGAAGACTTTAGGGGGCTTGTTATGATTTATGCCTTGGAACAACCTTCAACAACCGCAACTTTTATTGCAACCGTGTACTCTAACTATTTAAAAGCTACACATTCCACCCTCAAATGTCCTAATGGCAATGTCCAACCCACTTATTTAATGGTCCTGACCCGTTTATAGGCATACTATATTTTAGGTGAAAACCCAATGGGGATGCGCTACATGGTTGGGTTTGGGTCAAAGTATCCTACTCAACCCCATCATAGAGCAACTTCTATTGCATCAATTAAGAAGGATCCTGCACCTGTGAGTTACCAAGGTGGGTTTGGTTTGTGGTTCAATAAAAATGAGCCTAACCCATATGTTTTGGAGGGTGCAATTGTGGAAGGTCCGGATGAAAATGATAAGTTTTCAGATTCTAGGTCCAACTACCAAGTGAAACCACAACTGTAACTCCTGCACCTTTAGTTGGTGTATTTGCTAGCCTTGCTTAAACTGCAGTACATTCACTAGCTTCTTAGTTCTCTTGTTATGAAAAATTGCAAGTTATTATAAA